CCCCCACCCAAAATATAATCTCTGGTAAATGGCTCTTTAGACACAAACTTGGCCCACCAGGTGAGTTATCCATGTACAAGGCCCGTTGGGTGGTTCGCGGCTTCAACCAGCGCTTTGGCGTCGACTACGACGAGACCTTCAGCCCCGTTGTCAAACCTGCTACAATCCGCATCATTCTTAGCATTGCTCTGTCCAGAGGATGGCCCATTCACCAGCTAGACGTCAAAAATGCCTTCCTCCATAGTCAGCTACAGGAGACAGTTTACGCCAGTCAGCCTTCTGGGTTTCAGGATCCAGCTCGTCCTCACTATGTTTGTCGACTCAAGAAGGCTCTCTATGGACTCAAGCAGGCACCGCGATCGTGGTATCACAGGTTTGCCAATTTCATTCAGACCATTGGGTTTCGAGGGTGCAAGTCGGACACATCACTGTTTGTCTTCTCTCATGTCATGGGCACTGCCTACCTACTCTTGTACGTTGATGATATTGTTCTCACAGCATCTTCCACAGCACTTCTCCAACATCTCATCCAGCGGCTTAAGGCCGAATTTGCTATGACAGACATGGGGGACCTACATTTCTTCCTTGGCATCAACGTACACAGGACGACCAGTGGCCTCTTTCTCCACCAGACACAGTTCACTCATGACATACTTGAGCGGGCCGGGATGGTATCTTGTCGCCCCATCTCCACCCCAGTGGACACAAAGGTAAAGCTCTCCTCTTCATCGGGCACTCTGCTCCCCGATCCTACTCTTTATTGATCTGTTGTTGGAGCTCTACAGTACCTTACATTCACTCGCCCTGACATCACTTATGCCGTCGAGCAGCTTTGCCTACACCTTCATGCCCCTCGTGATGCTCATCTCACATCCATGAAGCGTGTCCTGTGCTATCTTTGTGGCACCTCCACCCATGGCATCCACCTGGCACGATCCTCCACCGACTCCCTGCAGGCATACTCCGACGCTGACTGGGCCGGTTGCCCAGACACCCGACGTTCCACCTCTAGATACTGTGTTTTTCTCGGTGACAATCTAGTCTCCTGGTCCTCCAAGCGTCAGGCTACCACTTCTCGTTCCAGCACCGAAGCCGAGTATCGCGCCGTGGCCAACGCCGTAGCAGAGACGAGTTGGATCCGGAATCTTCTTCTTGAGCTGCAGCAACCCCTTCGACGTGCCACCCTTGTTTTTTGCGACAACGTCAGTGCTGTGTATCTCTCGACAAATCCTGTGCAGCACCAGCGCACCAAGCACGTGGAAGTTGATATTCACTTTGTCTGTGACAAAGTAGCACTAGGCCATGTACGCGTTCTCCACGTTCCCTCGTCTTCGCAGTATGCTGACATCTTCACTAAGGGACTGCCTTCTTTATTATTTCTGGACTTCAGACAAAGCTTGGGAATCAGACCTCCTCCACATCCGACGTAGCCGGGAGCATGTTAAATATATTGTATATATTTAATATATTGTATTATTCCCTTACCTTATTTGTATAGGTTTCCTTACTTGTGTCTCTCCTACCTTGATTAGGATTGAGACTCCCCTTATATATATACATGTAATCACAACTCTTTTGATCAATGAAAATTATAATTCTTCAAAATCTAATTTGATCTTGTTATAGTTTTATTTAAACAATAAGAATAAGTAAAAAGTAAAATAATATGACAAAGGATGAATTATAAATGAGCTAGGGGTAAAAATGCATTCTTATGTGGCATACTACATTATAATAGAATTAATAACATTAAAAAACTGTTTCAAATAAAAAAATAAAATTAAAAAACACTCTCTTAATGTTTTGCAACTATGCTCCTGTGGCTTTGACCATGATCTCAATGCATACGAGAGCTCGTAAAGGTTTCGTGATTGATTTTATCGAATGAACAAAATTAAATCACTTTAGCTCTGTTTGTTTGGGTTGTTAAAACAGAGTTGAGTATTGGTAAAAACTAAAATAAGTCGGAAGAAACTGAAAGGAGTTTGAAGAAATTAAAATAGAAGGAATTGCAAACAACTGGGAGTTAGAAAATATTAGAAAAAATTAAGTGTTAAAAAAAGCACTCAATTAAATAATTACCAAAATAAATATGTACGAAAAATCATTTTGGATAAAAAATAATTCATCTTTATCCGTGTTTGAGGTAGATGGTATGTTATAAATATGGATATGATGTTATTGTATATTCATCGTTTGTAAAAAAAAATTTAAGTCATTGCTGAAGAAAGTAGAATGAGTTTGAAAAATCTAAAATAAGTTAGAAGAAACTAGAAAAAATTAGAAAATACTGGAAAAAGTTAGAAAAAAATCGAAGTTAACTTTTCCAACTCAAATGAACAAACCCTTCATAGCATTGGTCAGCTTGAAATGTAGCCCCATCCCAAAGATAGTGTTATTTTATACGAGTGTGGATCTTCTCACATGTTTCATATAAACTCATAGGTGGATATCTTTGATTTTACAATGCTCATTACATAAAATCATTTAATTTATAAAGGTCGAAAAAATGAATATGAATTTAAGGATCCAAAATTAATTTGCCATTTTATAATAGTAAAATCCTATTTTATCAAGTGCGTGCTGAATCGACTATTTTTAGCAAATCCTCTTGTATTTTTAAGGATAAAAATTATCCATTTTAATATATATGGGATGAATTTAGCCAAATTGGAGTATGAATATAGCAACACCCATTTATAAAACCGAACTATTCTTTCACATTTTGCCAAAAATATATGGAAAGGAAGTTTGCATTAAAACAACTCTGACTAAGGCTATATTTTGTTGGTCTAATCTGATTGGATTTAGTCTGATTTTTTGAAGATCTAGTCCAATAAATTGATCCGATATGATTAGAGATGATCTGATATAATTAGATGTGCTCTAGTTAAATTTGTATAAATCATCCTAAATAGGATTAAAACATAGAGAAAAGTACCAAAATAGGACTTTCATGTTTTTTTTCCTGGAATAGGACTTTGCACTGTGGTAATGTGACTTTGCATTGTGATAATGTGGCAGTGTACATGTGCAAATGACTATACTTTCTTGGTAATGTATATGACCATGTTTGGTAATGTAAGTCTTATTTCGGGAATAAAAACATGGAAGTCCTATTTTGGTATATTTTCAATGTTTTAGTCCTACTTTGGTCTTTCTCCCTTAAATTTGATTAGCCCCGATCTGATTAGATCTGATGTGATTTGAATAGATTTTATCTAATCCAATTAAAAGTTAAAATTATTATAATAACTTTATAATAATAATAATAATAATAATAATAATAATAATAATAATAATAATAATAATAATAATAATAATAATAATAATAATAATAATAGTATACTAAAGTTCATAGAATAATAAGTAGTGACCCAAAGACCACATAAGGGTTTGCCCTATTTGTAAAAATATCAAAAAACTTCAATCTTAACCTTTCTCTTTTTTTAGAAATATGTATATAATCCAAACTATTTCACTCACATTTTAACCACTTATTTTTTAAAATAATCTTATCATTTTCACTTTTTTTTACTTTTTGTGAAAACAAAATATTTAATTTTTTTATATATAAGACAGAGAGAATATTATTGTTAAAATAATTGCTTTTTCTCCCGGTGAAACAATATCTGTAATGTTACAGGTCCCAGATTTTTTCTTTGATATATACTACCTCCGTCCCAGTGTATTTGTCCAGTTTGACTTTTCTGAGCCAAACTGGATAAAGTTTAAGCATCAATTATTTTCAATTTGCATTGTGTATCAGTATAACAAATTAAATTTGTGAAAGTTTCAAACTAAATATATCTAATAAAAGTATTTTTGACTAATATATATTACTATTTTTGTTTAACTGAAACTCAAAGTTTATCTTGTTTAAGTCAAAAAACTCAAAATTATTTTCAATTGGCATTGTGTATTAGTATAACAAAATAAAATTTTGAAAGTTTCAAACTAAATATATCTAATAAAAGTATTTTTGGACTAATATATATTACTATTTTTGTTTAACTGAAACTCAAAGTTTATCTTGTTTAAGTCAAAAAAGTCAAACTAGACAAATAAACTAAAACAAAGGGATAATTTCATTAATTATTTGATAAAATAAAATAGATATGTCACTATTTATTTTGTAAAACTATTGAATTACTTTTTATACATGTAAATTGTACGAGGTACTCTCTATTTCTATACTTTTTTGTAAAAATTTTTTATTTTAAAACTGATGCAATTTTTGACGTGTTTTGAAAAAGACTAATTTAGCAATAGAAAGAGTATTATAATTACTTTAATAGATGGAAGAAAATTTACGCTCAGTTGATGAGGCAAAGATATTATATTCATTCATTGCTATTTGAATTTGCTTACGTATAGTAGCATTTGTTCTCATGTGAAACCCTTTAATTCCTTAAATTTTTTCTCTGAGGTTTGAAGTGTATGTTGGATAATCTATAACAAAAATTTTGATTTTAAAAGTATAGTATTAGTATTGAATAGTGCATAGGTATCTCATACAAAGTGTATACTGAATTTTCTATGTACAAAGACTTTAGTACTCCATATTTTTCAAGAAAAAATAATGCAATTATAATTATAAGACAAAGTATTTGATATTGCTAGCAAACTGTGTTTGACTTGACATTTTAATTGATTATGTTATTGTACGCTATTAATGTTCAACATTTATTTTTACTTGATTTAGAAATATATTGTACAAGAAAGTCTATCAAAACCTTTAATTTCATTTTTTTTGTCTTCACTATGCATTTCTCAATATTAGTATATAATACTTTTAATGTTTATATTGAATACAATTTCGTTGTGTTGTCCTTATAAACACTATAAGTTTATTTTTTTATTTTTTCCCCAGACTCAAAATATTGTTTGTGCAACGCACGAGTTAGAGAACTAGTAGTATTAACAATAAGAATAAGAACAACATTACCAATAATAATAATAATAATCACCACGGATCATGTGACATTGGAGTGAAATGTCATAGCATGACCCAATGAATCTACGATACTCTTTTAAAAAAGTAATGGTTGTTACCCCCATAACCTCCCTACCCCTTACACTCCAGCCCCCTTCTCTCCGTCGCCGATTAGCCCAATCGGCAAAGTTTGTTTGGGGGGGGGGGCATTAGGGGGAATAGGGGCTTTGTGTTTTTCGAACAATGTTAATGCAGTTTATAAATATTGTAAAATAAAACAATTCTATACACATTTATAAATAAAATTATTTTAAAAAGAAATTTTTTCACACATTATTAGAACAATGTAAATTAATTTGGTATGGAAGTAGTAATTATTACTTCCTCCGTCCTAATTTAAATTACCTGTTTCGATTTACGACATTTGACTAAAGTTATTTTTAATTGATTTTATATGGAAATAGTGTATAATTAAATCATAAAATTTACACATTCAAAAATTACATAAAAAAAATCTACAAAACTAGTGGTGACATGACTATATTATTTTATTAAATGACTAACAAAAATAGAAAAAGAAAGTGAATGATGTCTCACTATGTAAATAATAATAATAATACAAAGTATATGTAACATTAAATAATGTAATATAAATTAATCGTATAATAATTATGATGGGTGTATTTCACCCATGACCGGTCAAAGGTCAGAACCATATAGTTGACCGGTCAAAGAGGTCAAACTTGGAAGAAAGATGAATCGTCAATGGAAGGATAGAGGGTTGACCCAAAAAGTTGACCGGTATACTTCGGATAGTATACCGGTCAACCCATGCTGGCATCTAATTCATCCTTGGAAGTTAGCGAATCCAACCTTCAAGAACCAACCGGTGCAGTTTTTAAAGATTGGAGAGTGTCGGCAGGAAGGGTCCAAAAGGACTTGGACTGTAGTGGTTGGCGGGGATTCAGTGGAGATGCTGAAGGAATGTTTCCAAGCCAGAACGCGACAAGGGAAGTAGTTCCCCTCACAAGACGACAGGGCAGCTCGAGGACGAAACCAGTCACCTCGCACCACATCAGCAGCATGCCCCCACGTGGGCGCACGTGGTCCTGTCCCCCCAAGCCTAATATATATACTCATGTAAACCTCAGAAAGAGGGATCCGAATTCATTCTCTCTAAACTCCCTTGTAAAAGCATCCGTGCATTCTCCGTTATAATATAAACTGGGCTACAGGTGCTCCACCTAAAGTCCTACCGGTCAATCTGCGTGTTTTTACCTTTCTTACTTTACCAAATCAAGCAAACTATTCTAGACCCAGTCTAGTATAGTTTGACCGGTCAAGTAATTTACACCATCAAATTACATAGTATCATGTAATAATAAAAAATATTAACATTATTTTCAAAAAATTTTCTTGATTCATCTAATTTAATCTAAAAGGTTCATATCTGATTCGTTCTGATCAAAATTAATTAGATTTGGTCTGATAAAATTTGAATCTGATCTGATTTGATCAAATCTTCTTTGATTTGATTAGATCTGATCTGATTTTTAATAAAAGTAAGTAATAAGCAGAAAAAATAAATTCAACGTAAGGAACCTAATTTGAAAGTGGCACCTTGACAAAAAAAATGAATTTTTTTCGTCTGCCCAATTTTCATTCCTACCACACCAGTCAAGTATCCAACTAGAAAATCAACTAAAAAGCAAGCAGCACATCAGATCTCCAGATTCAGCACTCCAGACTCCAACCTGGTATTTGAGCACATCATACCCTATCTACCCGTCCGAATCTTTCTCATTAGAATGAACACCCTCTGGTCAAGCTCAAATTTAGCAGCTATGGACGAGTCGGCACTCAGTTCCATCAGAAGACCACCGAACGAAACAATTATTTTCCTGGAGCAACAAGGAACCAGATGAAAAGTTATCATATACAAATTTCAGAGCACAGGGAGAAATGTGTTAACATAATATGCAGAAAACACCCACAAGGTTTTTGCTATGGCAGACATATACAGGACCTCATATGCTGTTGTGGAATATTTCAAGACAGCCACTGAGAATTTGAAACAGATAACTAAAAAAACCTACATAAATTCTCAAAAGTATGATATAGTGTAACAATCCGAGCCTCAATCATGAAATTGGGTTCTGTTGTATGCAGTTTTGAAATAACAAGAAAGCAGACAAGTAGAAAACAGATCAATATTATTGGGTAGAGAACAGACAGATGTCTGCGTACTTTACAGTTTACACATACCCCACCCCCCACCCCCACCCCGGTCAAGAACTCACTTATGGAAAACCACATA